ATCAACACTCCTTCGTCTTCATCGTCTCGCTCTCTGAGAGGAGATGAGGAAGGGCTCGGGGCCGTTTGTTGCCACCGCTTCTCTTTTTTATTTTCTTAAAGTGCAGCCAGTGCTGGCACCTCCGTCCCCCCCCTCCCCTCTGCCCTCCTCCCTGTGCGAGGGGATTTCTCAGACCTCTGGCCTCCTCCCCTTGTTCGTCTCATAAATAAGGCATGGCGTGCCGGGCTGCGTGAGCCTTAATTGAGATCTGCTAAGAGCAGCGAGCAGATGTTTGTAGCAGCAACTGTTGAATCATCAGAGACCTCGGCGAGCCACGAAACATCAGCCAGGTGCTCCACTTTTTAATTTCTCACTTTTTTATCTCTTTACATCAAAAAGCTGAGTGTGTGTGTGCAGACAGAAACACGGGTTATTAGCAATGCTAAACTGCTGCAAAGCGGCTCTGTCTTCATGGAAACAAAGACGGGAGCAAAGAAATCTGGAAGAGAAGCCGGATCAGGAGGTCATGGAGGTGTAGAGACGTGTATGAACATGTCTGTCTGATTATTATTGGATGTTTGAATATTAAAAATAAAAAAGGGAGAAGGAGCAGCATGAACGACGCCTCACTTGGATCCATGATAACAGTTTGTTTAAGCCCTTTCTTAGTGTGCTTTTATTTATGTAATGTGAGTTTATGATTAAAGACACATATTCCTTTATTCTGTACAGCTGTGAGCACAAAACGGGAACGCTGCATTAACCTGCAGCTGTGGGAAAAACAGGCCTCAAGAAATGTGCAATGAAGAGCAGGTGGGAGCTCAGTAATCCAGGATATGGTTGTAATCCTAGCTTAATCTAACTCCTATTAATCTGGTTATTTCCTAATAAAAATAAAAAAATTGTGATTCCATGCAGACAAACATCTGAGAACACTGATTTTCTCAGGAAAGCAGTGATTTAAAGACCAACAAAGCCCACATTCAGAGCAGGGAGGCATTAAAACCTGCGGTTTCTCTGTCCTCTTGACGCTCCATAGAGGTCCCAGCATGCCATGGGAGTGCTGGGAACGCCACGACTTTATTTATACAGCAAGAAACAGAAACAAGAACAGGACAGGACGGAAAGAGGGCTCACCCAAAGCCCCCCTCTAACTCATTAGGCAGGCTAAAGCTCCTATTGCGTCCAACCGTCCATCTGACTTCTATTTAAGCAGATGAATTACAAAGAACTTTCAGAGTAATCTGAGTATTCTGGGATCGTTACTCTGTGACGCGTACCTGTGGACCTTCTGTTTTCTTTCCCTCCAGTGTTTAATGGCAGATCTGATTTTCTGATCTCAGTTTTTACACACCACAGCAGAGCACTGCTGCCCTATATATGCTTACTGGCCTATATACTATTGTCCCATTTGCTGCTTCGCTTTGTGCCGGTGATCCACATACATCCTCCATAGTGTGTCATCCCTCTCCTTCTTTGCTTTGGGGTTCGCTGGCACATGAGCAGACTCCTGCTCCCTTCCCATCTCCCATCTGGCTTCATGCCACACCGAATTAGTAACCAGATATGTCACCGCCACTGAGCTGCTGCCGAAAACACTGTCCACTTCTGGGAGGGCCACGGCTTGCAGATTAGCGCCTACAATTAATACAGTGGACTCTCGGGGAGGCTGTCTGCTGTTTGGGGCTCTGCTAAACGAGGAGAGGCGAGATGTTTGCGGCACAATGAGACGGCTCAGAGACGTGGAAACGCTCAGTCATTTTCTAACTCTGAAGGTCACGAAGCATCATTGACGCTGCACAGAGTATCGCTTCACGCAGGGGCCGAAAATCAGGCTGGGTCCTCCATGTGGCCATATATCCACGTACACCTGTCTATCTGTGGCTGTTCTGTAGGCAACGTCACGAACAGGCTGATTAAAGTGCACAGTGTGTCGGCGTGGATGCTTCGCAGAAACAGGAAGTTTACCAGATATCTGTATCTGAGAGTTGCTGGTCTGCTGATTGGCTAATTGGTTGATTCGTTTACTGCTTTGTCTCCATTTGTGAAGAGACTACAGGTATCCTCTGGTGTACTCACAGCTGTCAGCTGTGATAATGGTGTTAATGGTGACAATGACGAGGGTGACGATGATGATGATGGCAGACCCCGCTATCTCAGGCAGATTTTACTGAAGGTGATGTGAGAGGAACAGGTTAAAGCACCAGAATCACTCAGAGCTCGACCCTCAGACCTCCACTTCTTCTTCTTCTATGTTTAGTTAGGAAAGTAGGGCTGAGACTTCAGTGTGAGTGTGGGCGGGGCTTAAACCCTGATGTTATGGAAGGATATTGTCTTATTCTCTTGAATGACACCACTTTGTTTAATTTCTTCATTGAGTTCTTTTCTACTTTATTACTCGTGTTTCTCGTCTTGGCTGCAGGAAAACTTCCGATACTGTAAATCGCATTTTATCTTAGCTTGCGTTTGTCGTCGTCATCTTCTTCTAGCATAAGTAAAAGTCCTGTGATATGCCTGCAGTGCGTTTGTTAGTGGGTGGATCAGAAGGCAGAGGAAACCCCAACGCTGGGCTTTAATCAAAGTCAAAGCAGCATCGTGCAGCAGCTCGGCCTCCAGCCTCGGCGTGGGTAAGCTCGGTGTCGGTGTTTGGCGATGAGCTCGGCCGTCCGTGTTGCTGAAACAAGTGAAAGGATCTCTTTCCAGTTTATACACTCAGCTCGAGGTTTTCTCGGCGCTCTGCAGCCTTTCTGCACATTCCTGCACCATTATGTGACACTGTCGCTGAATAAAAGGCCGTATTATGTTGCAGCCCCCCCCCATAAAAGGGCAGAAGTGGACCGGGTTTTTATCTGCTGAACGAATCAATCAGGATTATGTCAGCTGAAAGGAATCACAGACTGCAGTCTCCAGGCCTGTCTCGGTGTGTGTGGCAGCAGGGATGTGTGATGGAGGACAGCACTTGTTGGATGCTAACATGCTCCGCGTGGTGACAGAGATGTTATTCGAGGGCTAAAAAGCAAGAGTTTTTTTCTATTTATGTATTTCCCCACCCGCCGCCTCCACCGGCCCTCTCTCCTCCTCTATGGGAGGATTGGAAGGGCACTAATTATCATTTCAGCAGAAATGATTAGGAGATCAAACAGGGATCGAATGCCATTTCCTTCCATTAATGCCGGGGGTTTAGAGTGCCTGTCAGGGCTCGGCTTGTCCTCGGGCCTGCAGGGAGGAAAAATAACAGGGGAGGATGGAGGAGGGGGCGAGGGGTGGACGGGACAGGGTAGAGGTTTGGTAACGGAGAGACGACAGCTGCTCAGATAAAGACGTTTAAAGCGGGGCACATTTATTTTTCCCAGAGAGCCAGAGGCCGCAGTACTGCCCCGAACAGCAGGTGTCGCCACGCAGCCCGAGCCGCAGATACGCAGGGAGAAGAAGCCAGAACCAGAAGAAGGTTCATTTAGTTTTTGCACAAATCTCGTCTTCAGGCTGAGGCAGCACGTCCGTCTGTGTAACCTGTGACGCTCGGAGCTTCGGCACTGATACGGCACTAAACGATCGGACGCTCACGTCTGTCCACCAGCAGGTGCACGAGTGGTGGCAACATGAACATCAGTTTGATGCATGGCAGGCCCTACTTACGGTCCCCCAGCCGGCGTGTTTTTATACTTATTGTATCTACTTTGCTTTGGTTTTATGTGATTGAAGAAGTTTGTGTGCAGCTCTGTGATGTGATTCAAACCACACCACCCAATCAGGAAGCAGCGTGAGCTCCTGTGCGTCCTGCAGGAAGTCCTCGCTGCCAAAGAGACGACACCGATGCATCTATGTTGATTCTGTTTATGTCTCACATCTGACCTGCACACTGAAAGAAAGTGGTAACCACGGCAACCAATAAAACCTTAAGTTTGACTTTTGAAAACTAAACCGAACAAAAGTCGAACGACCGTCAGAGCCGACGCTGCAACATGTTTAACACGTGCGTTTGTGCCGCTGCAGCCTTTCGCACCATTAACAGTCATTACCTGGAGGTTGGTGATTGGCAGCTATGTGTCTGCAGGGCATCGGCCGGGAGCACTGATGGTGCTGCGGAGTGAACACAGCGACCACGCCGACACGGTTAAACTCAGCCCACGAAGTTGTGACGCCGACATGCTGCCAAACTAAGTTTCCATTAAAAGCGCGATCGAGCGAGGCTGGCGGTAGATGAGCGGATGGAGAGCGTGCACGAGGCTGCGACGGTTCGTGCACGTCAGATGAGAGAAATGTCAAAGAGAATGTGAGAGATGACCTCTGCGCTCATCGCCCATTAATGACCCTGCAGCTCCCAGCTTCATTTTCCCTCTCATCAAAAACATTCAAAAAAACATTTCCTCCTGTCTGCAGCAGTCATTTCCCCCGCATTGTATTTATGTATTGGAAAAAAAAGGTAATAGATCAAGCACATTCCATTATTCTCTTATAAGATCATTAGCAAATATAATTAGATATGAAAGAAAGTAATTTGGAGAGAAGAGGAGAGAAAAGCGCTATCAGGCAGAGAAGACAGATTGTAGCATCAGAGTGTTTGGGCTTAAATTGCTCAGCGGAGGTATTATCACGCCGGCAATCTTTTAGCCTCAGAAACAGTTTTGGAGACAGACAGCGAAAGATAGAAAGAGGCCACTAACGCTCACTTCATTGTGCCCCCCCCCAACACACACACACACAACTGCAATCATGCCTTCCTCCATCTTCACTCCTCCTCCTCTGGATCCCTCCATCCTGTCAGCTCAGAGTTTGAGTGAGTTTATAAAAAGAAAACAAGCTGCCATGGAGTCATCACCTAATCACCCCCCCCCAAGCTCTGGCTTTAAATCGCAGGAACAACAGAAATTGCCTTGAAGTCGCTCGATGAGGAACCTTCTCGCTGCGCCCGCGCACGAGCCGGCGTCACTCTTTGTTGCACCTCAACGCCACGCTCTGTTTGTCTAATAAGGATCTGAGCGCAGCACAACAAGCTGCCGCCACTTCTCCTCACCCGCCTCCTTCTTCTTCTTCTGCTTCTTTAGTAGTGCTTTGAGGGATCGGGGGAAGGAGGGGGAGGAAGGTGGGAAGGGTGAAGAGGAGGGGTGGCGGTGTGGATTTTTCTAGTCTTTTGTGCGAATCACAGGGAATGGTAACTATAAACATCCTGTATTCATTAAAACCATCTAAAAATACAATTTTGGAGGCAGAGGGGGGCGCGGGCTGCGCTCACTTCCTGCGCCGCTCCTCCTCGGTGTATACAAGCCTGCTGCTGCTCATATTTACATATTTAGAAATGCCGGGCTGTACAATGAGGCGCGCCGCTGCCAACGATAACACTCTTTGCCGCTTTGAGGCCGGAAGCCTGCGACAGGGAACAAAGAGCCACCGCCAGCATCGCATGCACACACGCAGGTCACCTGTCCGAACACGCCCCAGTGTGCCAAGCCCATTTCTTCCTGCTCAGCTCTCGCAGGGCGACTTTGCACAGTTCAGAATAAGCCTTCTTTCTGTGACACTCACAGGCGGGCTGGTCGCTGTCAGGCCCGCTCAGGGTCAAAAAAACACGATCCAGAGCCGCTTCTGCAAGGCCTGGAGCTCATGTTCTCTCTGGAATCAGCCGTTTTAGCTCCTCCTCCTGAAAGCCAGCTTTCTTCTGATTGGCTGAGCGCTGTGGGTGTTGAATAACACCTGTCCTACATGGGATCCCGCCTCCTCCACGGCGTGGACGTGAACATGAGTACGAGAGCTCGGACGAATTATTGCATTAATTGTGAGGCTGACATGAAAATGTTTCATCTTCAGTGTGACGCAGCTGCGTGACCTTTATTCCTTTTTCACTTTTTCCCACTAAAGCAAAGAGAAATGTAAATGCTCTGAGCTCAAACAGACAAGCAGCCGCGTGTGTGTTTCTTTGTGAGAGTGCGTGTTTGTGTCTGCATGCGTGTGCATGTGCGTGTCTGGTCCCCACAAGTTTGAAGACATTTTTGAAAATGTGTTTTCAGTGACAGGCTTACAGGCGGGTCAGGGGCTCGGGAAGCATTAAGTCAGATTTCAGATATGAATACCTGACATGCGTGTGTCTGTGTGAGTGTGCGTGTGTGTGCATAAGTATGCGTGTGGTATTTTTGCAGGCTGATGTTAACGTCAGGTGATCCCTCTGAGACGACACACACTCGTCCGCACGCACACACACCCACGCCGGCGTGTACTCCCCGACACATGCTCAGTGCAGCACCGTGCCGTTGCCCCCCCCATTTATCCATTCTGTTAAGCATGACACATGTATTAACAGTAGATGGATCCTGGAGCTGTGTGTCCTCACACCATATGTTGAGCTTTCCCAGATCCTCTCCCGCCGGTGCCGCCTCATGGCGTGCCACAAGAGGGCGCTGTGGTGGCTCGGGCCGACGTATAGATTGTGTGTGATGTTTGTGGGGCGGGCGCAGGGCTGTGTGCGAGGTGCGCTGGCCCACAGACGGCAGACTGTCTGAAGGAAACAAACAGATAAGACTCGCATTCATGTGAGAGATGAATGCCGGGCAGGTTTCTGTGTCTGTGAGGTGCATCTGCCATCTACCCGAATGGGAAATTAAAAACTGTGAAGGGAAGTTATGCTAAATCTATAAAGTTGGCCGGGAAAGCGCTCCCCCCTCGCAGCGGCAGTTGTTTGGGGAGAAGGAGCAGCGTGCTTAAATAATAACATTCCAGGTGGCTTAGTTAATGAACAGTGAAAATCAAATATGGGGCCTAATCTGGAGCTCGTTACAGGAAGTTTCCTTACAGGGAAGTCAAAGGCAGGAAGTGCCCTTGGGGACAGACTAAACACTTTTTGAAGCTTGAAAACAAGGAAACTTTATTTTGGGTTCGTTTTAGAGGTGTGGGCTGTTCTCACAGCAGACCTGGCACCCACAGTCGGAGCTCGGATCCTCTCGTTGGGATCGCATTTAATGTCTCGTGTGTTTAATGTCCATGCTGCGACTGGAGCTCTGCTCCCTCATCTGAGCACTTCAGCATCTCATTTCCTGGTCTTAGATCGCCATCGTGTGGCTGCAGGTGGGTATGACACCAGTGAGGAGCCATGATCCGGGTCTTTCCCTGGCTCAGGAGGGGCCACTGGGAGGTGAAGGCTCGACTCACAGCCCCTCTAATCATGTGATCACTAAGCAGCCAGTCAGAAGCAGCAGTGTAAGCTCACATTTGTCTGCTGCAGGTGTTAACAGGACCTCTGTTACTTTGTCTTTAACATTAAATGAGTCCTGTACTTTTATTTTTAGACATTGGTTTGCTCAGTATCACGCTGCTGTCCTGCACAGCAAAAATGAGACCATTTGGCCCACAACTGGGTAGACACATGAAACCCCCCTCCCCCCCACCAGTGTTGTGTTTTTTTTTACAGAATGAACCTTTCACAGCGTGAGTGCACACACAAGAATGAGTGTTGTGTTTTTGCAGGCACATAAAAGTACGGTTCAAAGAGTGTAGAAAAAAACAAGCAGCTGAAATTATTTGTGAGGTTTAAAAACAGTGAAAAATCAAATAAAATGTGCAGAAAATACCTTTGGTGTCAGTCTTTGTTCGTTCTGAGGAGATGTCGCTTCGTGTGTTTAATGACGCGAGGTCCACGTGACCGAGAGTGAACACAAACCCACACAGTCGACCAGAAATCATCTGAAACTGAAGCTGAGCTGAAAAGAAAGCGAAGTCTGTGTTAGAGCAGATGCTGATTCCTGCATATGTGATGTGTGAGTAAACTCATCTTCAGCAGCGTGTAACTAAAGCTGTCACCACCAGGGGGCAGTGTTTCACAGCAGTACTACACTGTGTTTGCTGATGTTGGTAAACAGACTGTACTCAGCAGGATTTATATAAAAGAAAGAAATGAGAACCTGCATGAAGATCAGTCCAGTGGTTTTGGCCTCTTTCAGCATCCTTACACTCTGTGATGTGTACTTGTTGGAGTTTGTGCTGCCGTCTCTGTAGAAACAGACACGTGTCACGTCCGTGAGCGTTTATACAGGATGTATAATCTTCTTTCTGGCTCACAATGACTTAATATGACTCATGAGAGGCACGTCTGAGAGATTACAGGCCAACAAGTCATGAACAGTAGTTGAACACGGTTAAGTCTCTCTGCCACGCAGGGCAGCAGCACCAAGTTCCACAGTAGGTGTCCCATACGTGTCGTTCTTTGCCGTGGTTGGACGTGCAGATAGGTGAGCTGCAGAAGCGAAGCGGGGCGCCGTCGGCCGTGGCGCAGAGCAGACGTGTACGTGTGACGGTTCTGTTTGGTTGCAGTTGTAACGCGGAGCGGGGAAGCACGTGAAGTGAGTTTGCTGGGCTCTCCTCCCGCCGCGCAGACAGTCTGAGAGTTATTACTGGCTGCTGAATCTAAGAGATGTTTTATCATGTTATTAGCTCTTTATTTTCCCTCTGTTATGCTGGCACTTCCTTTCATTTTCATATCCATTTCCATACTTGTGAAAGCACAGCTCAAATAAAGCCGTGTTTTAATTTGGTTTTGTCAGATTCATAACGCCACTTTAAAAGAACATGACATGCAAATGTGCTCAGCGGTGTTTTATTGCAAAATAATTTTCAAAGAAGTTGCTGAGGGAATGAAAGTGTGCAAAACCGGGAGGGGGGGGGGCTTGTATTATTTAGTGGCCTCTGCTGTGGGACCTAATTACAGTTATGCATTTCTTACTGTATCACAGAGACATAAAACTTTTTTTATTGCAATTACTCACTTCGCTTCTCGCCACTGTCACACTTCCCGTCGCACTTATTGAGCTGGGCGCTGGGCGTGAAAGGCCTGCGCTGCCGGGACTCAAACGTGTTGGCGCCCAATCTCGAAGACATCGTCCCAAACCCCCAAAATGACAAAAAAAAGCAGCGCGAGGAGGAAACAAACAGCCGATTGGTCGACCCACCGACCTCGCTCATGCTTCAGCCTCACAGGAAGCAGAAAGGCAGAAAAGAAGGTGATGCGTCTGTTTTACATCTTAATGAGGCCGAATCTTTCCGAGCAACTGCGCCGTTCATGTATCAACAGTGCACGAGCGCCGGGGGAGCGTGCGCGAGAGCCGGGGAGTGAAAATCTTTCAGAACTTCAGTACTGAAAAGAAAAAAGATTAAATTGATACCCACGTGTTTGTTTATTGGACAGAATGACACTAACAGTGTCACTGTCCTGCCTGCTGCACGTTTCCCATAAAACAGCTGAAACTGCCTCACATGCTGCTCAGTCCAGCTCACATTCATCATGTACAAGGACCTGCATTCACACACGCACACCAGAAAACTTTCAGTTGTCCAATCTGAGCATCCTGACTGATGAATACTGTGTGTGCGTGAGGCAGTGATCATGTGACGTCCTGCCTGACAGCTGCTCACGTGCACAGAGCTCACAGGATCAAGACCACGTGTTGTTTTTATAGATGGAGGCTCAAAATGAATGTGTGGAGCTCTTTGCACGGTTCTTATCCAGGACAGATCCTCAGGTACACGTCAGACTGAACCATGACCTTTGACCCAGTAACACAAATGTTCCATCAAAGCAGATCTGGATGAGTTTTTAATAAAGAACAGATGTTTCCATGGAGACCGTGTGGTGATGCGTTTTCAGGGACATTTTTAATAATTGTTCTAAATTTATTCTGAAGGTGTGAACAATGTACTAAAATCATTGAGGGAAAATGAATCCTGCACAAAGTAACATCCACCTGATCCAGTGCATAGACGGACCTTTCAGCCCCACCCTGCTCCTTCAGTTCATCCAGCTTCAGCTTCCAGACTGATATAAAATGGACAACAACAGAATATAAACACTACAAATTATTATCATATTCTTTGTTCTTATAACTCTGTAAGTGTACGTCCACACGTCCATCTTTGTGTGGCCTCAGCGACCAGCTGACCGCCGTGCGGACGTCACTGTTACACACCATGTTTGTCCATGTGCGTGTGTGTGTGTGAGCGTGTATTCATATCTTTGTGGGGACCACAAATTGGAAGTTTACTATACTTGTGGGGACCAGCAGCCCTTATGGGGACACAATCCGGGTCCCCATAAGTTTAAAGACATTTTTGAGACTCAAAACGTGTTTTTATTGTCAGGGTTACAGCTGGGGTTAGGGTTGGGGTTACAGCTGGGGTCAGGCATTCATTTCTCATGGTTGGGATAGGGGGCCAGGGAAAGCATTATGTCCCCACAAACATATGAAACCACATTGTGTGTGTGTGTGCGGGTCCGTGGTGCTAACCTGCCTCTTGTTCTCTCATTGGCCGTAGTGCATCTGTGGGTAGGAGAGGAGGACCAGCCCATGACCCATGACCCCACGCTGACCCTCGACCCCAACCATCTTAACAGCGACCTTAACAACCACCCTAACAACCATAATGTAGGCGACGCCCACGCTGTAAACAAAGAGTAACGGCCGCGCCAGAGCGAGCGGACGCTGGTGAGGATGGAGGCGGTGATGAAGAGGATGAAGGTTAACGAAGGACACACTATATCAGAGACTTTATTTAAGATGAGAAAACACAAACTACCGTCAGAGCGGCGCCACGTGGACCTAATGACTCTCACAGCCTCCCGGACACTAATGCAGTGGACTTCCTGTTTGTCTCTGGCGCTCTGAGCGCCCTCCCCACCCCCCGACCCCGTCTTCTCTTCTTCTTCTCCTTCTTTGTTTTCTTTGGATGAAACTACCTGTTAGCACTTCCTGTAAGTGTCCCTGAAACATTCCTCAGCTTAGAGACGCTGTGTCCTTTTTTAAGGTGTAAACTTTAAATCTGCACATTCCCGCCATGCAGAGGTCTGGCTGCCCGCAGGCCACGCCTCCCGGCGACGGTGGCACGAGGATGATGCGCGCGTACAGGTTCAGCCCCTCCCTCTGCCTCCGTCTGTTTTTCTGTACCGTACTGTTGTCGCCGCCGCCGCCGCCGTCTCGAGAGAGCGACGGCAAGAGGCAACAGTTTGAGAAGCGGGCGGCGTTTTCAAACGCCGCGTCCTGTGGAGCTGCGGCCGTGTGTAAAATACTGCCACCATCTTTGTTGCACAGTGTTACCGACTACTGAAGACGACGCTTCGATGTATTTACTTTACGAGGAAAAAAAGAAAACTGGAAAAATGCTTATTGTGTATAGCCTTAGAAACACGTCCCCGTTACTGCTTCAAAGCTCCGTAGCTGTGCTCGACCGTAGGCCGTAGGGTTGATTTTCTTTGGATTTTCATATGTACTGTACATGAATAATGCCTTGTCCATTTACCGATGAGAAAAAAAGAGGAAAAAGATGACAATCGTCTCCTGTGCTGCAGACATATTTGCCCCGCCCCCTCCCCGTATATACAGAATCATTATGCATAGAGGGACTCGTCCTTTCTTCTTTCTTTGATTCGTTTCGATCTCCCGAGTATTTTGCACTGTGACAGTATTATAAATCCAACCTATACAGTACAAACTAGCTAACTAACTAAATGAAGGTGTGTGTTTGTGTGTCCCTTGGCATTGTGAAATGTTTCTACGTCATTTTTTGTGAACCCAGAGAAAAGTCTAAAGCGGTATGTACAGTCCAACTATAAGACTTCTTTTTTAGTTTACTGTTTGTGGCTTCTTTTGTATGCTGACCCCTGACCCCGACCCTCAGCGTAGGCCTGCTGCTGCTTGAGCCCGGCTGATCGTTCTCTGCAGTATATCCTCCCGTTTTTGTTTCTTTGATTTATGTAGATGGCAGTAATCTTTGAAAACAGAGGATTCGAAATCAAACTAGTGAGAGTGAGACGCGAGGAGGAAATGCTCGAGGCGCTTCGGAAGCGACCTCCGACCTTGCTCTCTGTTTTCCAGCCGTGTAAAGATTCATCTCTGAACCAGCTCCGATGATCATTCCACCCCACGTATGATGTACAAACCTGTCTTGTGAGCTCCACACTTTTCTGTTTGCTGTATCCTCATGGCAGATGCTTCGTTTTGTAACTACTGAACTGTACTTATAATAAAAATAAAATGTATTCCAACTAAAAAAGGATTGTCACAGAGCACCCGCCTGCTTCCTGTTTCACTTTCTTCTTCTTTCCTTTGGGTTTGTCGCTGTGGTGTCACCCCTCCGTCAGCTGATGTTCCACACCTGAGTGAAACGTTCAGCTTTCAGGAAGCTTCTTCGTTATTTTTCAGGGCTGAAAACACTGAACCCAGATCAGTTCACCGCCTGCAGGAGCGCTGAAGCTGTTCTCTGAGCATCGGTGTGACGATTCACATCTGAAGCAGAGCAACCAGCATGTTTGATCTGGTTCTGATAATTCACTGATAATTCACTGCAGGATACGTGACAGAGTGCACGCTGGGTAAAGTTCGGAGGCGCCGTGTGGACAGGTGTCTGCTCAGGACAGGTGAGAGCAGAACGCTCTCCTTTTCACCTACGTTTGATACCAAGGCCAGCTTCTAGCTTCAGGGTCAAAATCATTTTCTAATAAAGTTATTTTATTAACATTAACACAGCATCAGAGGTCACATGTCACAGTTTGGACCGGGTCGCAGCTGACCTCTGCAGGTGGCTTCATTACAAATATCAACATCATACCACAAAAACCAAAGACGCCGCGAGAGCCTCACTGAGAGCGTGCACACAGATTTATGAGGAAACCGTGACTGGCCTCTCACAAAGGAAGTAGTCAGGAAGTGTTACAGGAAATCAGGACGCTAAATGGTGCTGGTTAGTTACCCATGAAGGCGTCCTTTAAGAAAGAAACGTCGGGTCCTCGGGCTGCTAGAGCCGACACGCCTGGCCTTCAGGTTTGTGTTGACCCAGACTTGGGCCTGTGAGAGCAGGTGAAACTCCGCTCAGACCAATCCAGGTGTGTCACCTCTGGAGCTGAGGAGGGGCGGCTGTTCAGACAGTCAAAACTCCAGTTCACTAAACCTCTAACCAGAGAATGGTAAATGGTAAATGGCCTGCATTTGTATAGCGCTTTTCTAGTCCCTAAGGACCCCAAAGCGCTTCACACTACATTCAGTCATTCACACACTGGCGATGGCAGCTACATTGTAGCCACAGCTGCCCTGGGGCGCACTGACCGGCTGATGGAGTAAAAATCCACAGAAACGCAGTTCGTCCTGCGTCCACTCGCACTTCACCTGCTCCATGAAGCTCCAGGAGAACGATCCAGGCGCTCCATCATGTGACCGATCAGATTATTGATCCAAGATGATCAGCTCCGCTCACAGTTCTAACAAATATTCATCATCTCAGAGATGATCCGAAGCAACGCCTCACAGCAGGACCCCAAACAGGGTCAGGCTGCCCGGGTCAGTGCCCGACTCACTTTTAAAGAGATCAAAGCTCCCACGCCTGTTCCCAATAAAGCCACACACACACACATGTGCGCACACACACAGTGAAAACAAGTAATTTCCTGATAGCTCTCATATCCAGCTGTGAGTGTGTCTGATTAAAGAACACATTAAGCCATCTGTGTGTGAGAGAGCGAGCTTTCCCTCTCATTTAACGGCCTCTCTTCCTTCAGATTTTTTGCATTTTCGCTGCCGTGTGTGTGTGTTGTGTGATGACGCTGTGCAGTTGTGGCAGTGTGTGGTTGGTCACCGGGCAGATGGTGGCCTGCAGATGAACCGTCGTCTCAGCCTGTAATTTCCCTCTGTTTCCGCCACATTAATGCCGAGGCTTCACGGTGCCGCGCTGCACTTTCACCACCAGAGGGCGCCACAGACCAGCTGTTGGGACAAGCCGGCCGTTTCTGCACATGCTCTGTGGACTGGCACACTTCGGTGTGGTGCTGTCCTTTCTCCATGGTACCTTTAAAATGAGCTCTCGCTCTGTTGGTGCGAGTTCTCCATCAGGATCTCTGAGAATGAGAAACAGAAGACAAAGAACGCATTCATGTTAATGGTTTTTTTGTTGTCTTTTTTAATTCATCAGAAATTTGTGAACCCTAACATCTGTCCGACGTTTGCTTCTCCTTCCTGTAAATAAGAGTCGTTAAACAGAAAAGCACTATATAAATGCAATCCATTATTGTTATTATATGACCTGCAAAGCCAAAGCGGCACACTGGAAGGTCCAAATCCGGCCCGCTGGGCAGCTCTATAGAGCATGCACCTGAGCTGAACGTTTAACCTGAGACGGCCGAGGTCTGGCAGCTGGACACGCTGGAGAGCCGAGGTTAAAACTGAAGAGTTTTATGACTGAACGGAGGAAAACACGGTGGCCACTGCTGTTCATGCTTTGTAGGTGAAGGTGTATTAGTCTATGATCACCTGGTGCTGGTGTGCTGAATAGGTGCTTCCTCCAACTTGATGAAGACAAACAGAGGTCTGTTTTTGAGGCCCTGACAGATTTGTGTCTAAGGTGATGGAAACACTGAATCTTCTATCAGGAACGTTGGGGTGAGCTCGCCTGCAGTGAGCTGGAGTGATGTTTGCGCCTCTGTTTCAGCACGTCTGGGTTACTGCAGACGTGCAGGTTGTTGAGCGTGCCGCTGCGAGGCTTCCTGTTACCTCCAGAGTTCACGTTAAGATTCTGGCTTTGACTTTGAAGCATGGACGAGCACCGGCCTACAGCTGTGAACCTCTGCCTCCACTCAGCAAGTGCCCGAGGTCATGTGACCCGGGTCTCAGTCTGTTTACTGTTTGAAGGTTTCAGAGTGACATGCTGATGTGGCGTCTTTACCTTACAATAAAGCTTCTTCCTAATGTGAGCTGGTGCTGTGACACTGAACTGTTTTCACCGCTGTGCAGAAACAGGACCACCGCCAGACTCTGCAGATGCGAGCGGTCAGTAAGACCAGAAAACAGATCAGTATGCACCGCGTTCATACATTTTAAGACTGACTGTGTTTAGGAAGTTCAGACTGACCTCTGTGGGGTAAAGATAAGAACACCTGTCAAAGGTAAGTACTAGCAGTGCAACGATATTCGTATCGATATTGAACCGTTCGATACAGTGCTTTCGGTTCGGTACGCATATGTATCGAACAATACAAAATTTTAAATTTATTTGATCAACTTTCCTTCTGACGATGCTGTCTGTGTTGAATCTTGGTCTTCATGTGACGTATGACCCTGAAGGTAAGCGAGTCATGGACTAAAGTAAAACAGTATGTTGGATGTGCCACGCAATGCTCAATTACATGGGTGGGAACTAGTGTGTTAGCGCAGTTAGCTCGTTAACTTGTTGGCCGTCTAGCCCCATGCACTGGTCTCCGCGGTAGCTCGTTAACGGAGATTTGCCGTGTTGTGGCGTTAACGTCATTTCAGATTAACGCTGACAGCACTAGTGGGAACACAACGAATATGACTGCACATTTACCCCGACATCATCCTAGTGCTAAGACAAGTGGAAGCAGACAAAAACAACAAGCAAGCACGCTACAAACTTTACCCGAGTCATTTAGACAGCCGTTAGCACAGGATTCTCCTTATGGGGACCTGATATGTTTAATATGCTGCTGAGAATATAGCCCAGAAGAAGCTTATAGTAGAGCTTTTATTTTGGAAAGAGCCATTTCTCTGTAATAAACTCTCTTTTCCAAAGATGAGGGATTTCTCCGTCAGATAGATTTATTTTTTTATTACTTTGTTGTTTCAGAAACATTAAATTTAAAAACTGTACTTTTGAGTGAAAATATATATTTATAATCTTAATAAATGACAAATTAAAAAAGCATGAACATTTTTTTTTGTATCGAAAAAATATCGAACCTGACACCAAAGTATCGAACCGAACCGTGAATTTTGTGTATCGTTGCACCCCTAGTAAATACCTCAGAGAGCAGAAGCTGAACAGCCTCCGAGGCTTAAAGGAAACATGTGAACTGCTCATGTGATTGTTGGGTATTATTGTAGGGTCTACCTGCAGCACTGTGAGGTGACTGTTGTTGTGATTTGGTACTGTATAAGTAAAATTGAATTGAATAACAGGACGTTCAAAATTTCTCCTGTAATAAACACATTCGCGCACGTTGAAGCCACACAGCCCGCCAAAGCACGGCGGTTTAGCTGTAGCGCAAAAACTCGTTCCTCAGAGTTCTGCTTACACAAACGTGCATTCTTTTATTTAAATAAATGAATTTTTGCTTAAGAACAAAAAAATGTCTGTGCGGTTCAGCTGATTTCCCTTCTGATGATTTCCTCAGCAGAATTTTGAGATTTCGGGGCTCTGAGAATTTTAATCACAGTTCTGTTTCCAAAAAGTGACCAGCAGACGATCAATGAAGAAAAATAAGGGGATGATTTTAAGCAGGACTTAAATGCTAATGTGACAGTGCATCCTCCTGCTTCCTGCCCAGCATCTGTGTGTGTGTGTGTGTGTACTGTGGCCTCCCTCCCTCGCTCTCCTCAGCTCTTATGAATCGATGATCATGTGGTGTAAGGGAGATAGATGGCCCCCAGCTCCATCGTGTCTCCTCTAATTGTAAAATATTAGTTACATTAGACTCTGGCCCATGATTAATGGAACTTATTTGGAAGGTGGACTCTCTCTCTCTCTCTCTCACACACACACACACACACACACACACACACACACACACACACACACACACACACACTTTCTTCCTCGCTCTCTTCCTGAAAGAATTGAGTGATTTCACTTAAAGTGGACAAATAGGCTTCCCTCTGCAGGAAAGAGAAGAAGAGGAGGAAGATGAAGCAGAGGAAATGACGGAGGGAGATAAGAGCGAGGGAAGAGCTTAGAGGGGGTAAATAAGAGCTCCACTTGGGGAGGGGTGGGGGGTTTAAGCTTCTGCATGGATAATTCTGTTCGCAGGATCAGACGATGAAGAGCTCATCGTGTTTACAAGCTGATCGCTGTGAAAAAGTATTTTAGTCTGCACTGACGCTACCTGCCCCCAGAATATCCACACAAAGAGCTCGAGATGACTTCACAACCGTGTGTTGCGCACACACACACACACACACACACACACACACACACGTAGTAAATCCTACATGCAAGGAGACGCCTTGAAATGGAACCTATAAAGACCACAGACTGTATGTAAAAGATGGACGAACCTTCATGAGCAGGAACTCTTAAACCTCCAGTCCTTATAATACCCAGCAGGGGGCGACTCTTCTGGACAGATGTCTATGACAAAATGAGCCTCTTGCTCAGGTGAAGCATTCTACTTTTAAATACTCTAGGAACAACAAGTAGGCCTGCAGAGCGAGAGCGAAGTGCTCTAATAGGGTGATATGGTACTACAAGGTCATTAAGATAAGATGGGGCCTGATTATTTAAGACCTTGTATGTGGGAGCAGGATTTTGAAGAAATCCTTGTTGTATTTAAAATACGTGGAGGGGATGCAGAGGTGTGACAGTGTCTGGGTCTGATCGGGGGTGAAGCTGGTTGTTTCCTAAGCAGGGGTCTTGTTGTAGTCATTTTCTGACTGTCTCCACTGCCTCGGTTGTAGGTGTGCAAGTGAAGACAGAAACCACGTGAAAGGACGGTTTCATCTGCGTCCAGCGTAAGTTTCTGGATCCTGTTGGTGAAGTCTGAGAAGTTTTTCCCCACCAGGGGAGCAAAGATGAGGTGCTTGGAAATGTTCAGGTGTCTGAGTTTATACTGCTAACCGTGGGTATGACAGGGACTCTGTGTCAGTGTGGGGATGGTTTTCAGGAGGTGGGTTCGTCCTCTCAGTGCTCTTAATGCTTCAGACGGTTTGGAATTGTCTGACCCAAGATGGCAGCTGGGTGGTTAATAGTACAAACAGACCGCCCAAGAAGTCTGAGCTCCAGTTTTGGTGCAGAGTGAATTTCGGGGACTCTAATTAGAAGTTACATAGGAGGTTAAAACTGCATTTAAAGAGAAAAATTATTATTTTTTCATTACACGTGTAAAATACACGCTTTGCATGTTTCTGCCTTTTCTAACGTTCCCTAACTTTGAGCTGCAGTCGCTCCGTTGAGGTCAAACAAAGTTCACGAGGATGAATGTGGCTGAGTCGCTGCCGCCGCTGCTCTTTGTGTCAAAGTGTGAGTGAGAAGCAGGTGGCCGCCATATCCATCAATCCTCCATTTTTTTTATTTCCTTTCTTTCTCTTTATTGCTGAGAGACATGGATAACAGCCCCCCCACACACACACACAGAGTGAAAAATGATATAAATCAGTGAGTGGGTGAAGTTTGTTTGCTGGACCAATGAAGTGAAAAGTGTCTGTGAGTCAGAGAAGAAACATGCAGTGAACGAGTGAAACAGATAAACCACAGGAGGACATGACAGAGTGAATATAGTACATGGATGTAGTGAAGGAGGACATGCAGAGGATTGGTGTGACAGAGGAGGACACTGGGATAGGAGGAGGTGGAGGCACACGATCTGGCGCCCCCTAAAGGGAGAAGCTGACAGAAGAAGACGTGCGAGCCAAACTGAATGATGTATGAAAGTGAGGGTGAACTCTGTCAGTGAATCAGTGAGAATCACTGGTTGGTTTGTAACGTGGGCGTGGCGGACACTGTCTGGGTAGGAAGCGCTCTCCCCTTGGTCGCTGCTGCAGTCTGTTACCTAAAAGTTGAGATAAGTTTAAGGAGCTGGCATCTGTCACCGATGTGCTGGGTCTCCTTCTGCTGCTGATCACTTCCTGTTTGTTTGGCCTTTAGGCTGAGAAACCACAGAAATGTGCAAACGTCTGTCAGACGGGGTGTGTGAGCTGCTTCACTCTGCTTCAGATGTTTCCATCCAGCAGAACTGCGTTAAACACAGAGGTCTGGGTTAAACGTGTCCATGCACAACACCAACTGTTTAAGTACCCAGGCCAGCGAAATGCGACGCCAGCGAGTCCTTCATGAGCGTCCATATGGGATGAACTGAGTGTCATCATCGTGCTCAGAAGTCAGGGTCGTGGC